AGGTTAGTTCTCATCTGATGGGAACTATATTTAGACCTGCATGAGGTTAACACAGTCTAAAATGGATTAACTCCACCTAATGAACATTTGTATGTGTTCCCAGAGCAGCCCCAGACTGCAAAGCCTAGCCACTCAGCATAGTCCTGGGACTGTGGAGTTTTTGCCACACCCTCCCCACTATCCACCCTGGATAGTGCCAAGCTATTTCCCTCACCCCTCTTCCCCCCCGCCCCAACTAGCACCCCATTGACCTGCCAATGTGCTCCTAGACCCACCAGTCCCCCCTCTCCCCCTCTCAATTGACTTTCCTCTGGATGCCTGGGCCTCCTGGCAAACAGCAAAAGCCTGCATGTAGTAATCTCAACTGAGGTTTAGGCCATGGGTAACTGGTGCCTCCTCAGTCTGGGGGGCACCAGCGGCTGATTGCTGACCAGAGTGAGGGGTCCCCCAGCAGCCAGTCGCCGACCTCAAAAGTGCTGGTGGCAAAACCAGAAGTGCCACCAGCACTTCTCTCACCACCCCCACTTCCCGACTGGTGAGAGCCAATCTCAGGGGTGGCACGTGACCCCGGTGCCCTCCCTATGCATTGCCTATGGTTTAGGCAGCTTAGTTTAAGCTGCCTAAACCTAAGCCAGGTTTTATGAATGATTGTTGGCACCCTCAGATGACACAGTTGCAGACAATTTAAGGAGGATGAATGGGGAAGGCCAGATTCTATATTAGCCCTCAATTCAATTCATATACTTACTCATATGTATTGGTTCTAACTTGGATGAGCAGATCATGATAAAGTTTCATGAGGGCAGTGGAAACAGGAATGACATTAAGTTGTTTAGACCCAAATTCAGAAAAGTGTGAAGCATCTTCAAATTGCAACAGAATAGATGTTGATTAAATATCAGGAAAAAAATCCTTACTGTTAACATAATGAGGCTATGAAATAGGCTTTCCAGGGAAGTTGTGAAGATTTTCAAGAGGAGGCTATATAAGCATTAGGCAGAGATGACTTAGGAGAAGCATTCTCGCATCTATGGAGGGATTTGGACCAGATGACCCTTGAGATCCCTTCCAATATCATGATTCTATGATATCAAGTTTCCATAGTTGTCAGTGAAAGCTACAGACCCTCTCTCAGCAAATGCTCAGTCTCATTCAAGGTTCGATGAATTTCAGGACATGATACATGATTCATGTTTATCCCCAGATGTTTGAAAATAAGAGCTAGAATTATAAGGATGGATTTATTTGAAGGGGAAGACATTTGTGGAGGGTTATTCAAGATGCCTGCAATTAAAATATATGTTACATATAGATAGTTTACTCCCACAATTTTTATTAATTTAAATAAATAAATAAGAGATGACCCTTAGATAACCTCTTGAGGGGGAGAAGTGATTTTAAACCTGTTAATAAAAAGTATCTAAAAAAAAACTAAGCCACTTACTACTTCAAAACATGTGCACAAGCTTGTCAATGCAACAAAATGTGACATTTATTTTCTTACAGGTTGGCAGATATTGTGTCTTGTTTTGGTGGGAATGTGTTTATTTCCATATCAAATGCTTCAGTGCCAATGTTCTTTCTTTTTAAAATGTCCACCAAAATCTTCTGTTACAGTCTAGTGCTGTTAATAAATGAACAATAAAAAGTTTGTACACACATGCAATGGAGAAAAAAAACTTGGTAAGGTCATATTTAAAAAAATATTGTAAAGAATAAGTAAAATCTAGGTGGATGCAGACTAATACATATTAGTGGGTGTGGGTGAGAGAGATGGAGTAAAATAAGAACAAATTCCCTTTCAGTTGAATACTGATTTGTTGTATGATGGGAAATCTCCACATAGAAAACATCATTTGGATAACAATACTTCCTTGTTTTAATACTAGTCTCATAAATAAGCAGGAGTTATTGCAGACCATCACTGTTAACTACTTAACAGGACTGTTCAGTTTTCCTTGGAATACCAGTCATGTAAGATAAGTGTCTTTCACCATTTTTTTGTTTCATGACAGATGAATTCCCTAGCATACAAAATAGATTCTGAAAATGCCATTCCCCATGACAAGTCCTGCACTATATTGCCATCTAATAGGGGAAGAAAATCAGGGAATTCCAGTAGAAATAATTTCTTTGATATAGATATCTTAAAATGCAGATGTGGAACAGAACTGATTTAATTCCCCCTCCTGTTATGGCTACTGTTTACATTTTTTGTAATTTTTTGTACTTACCCATTTTTGGTTTCACTCAAGGATTTCTTCCATAGACCAGCATTTGGACTTTTTTTTCTGAATATGGTATTTTTCCTGAGGCCACCCAGCTGCTGAATAGATGATGGCATCCATTCATCAGTGATTGACGGTGGATTTGACGAGGGCTGTATGGATGTGCATATCCTAATTATGAGGCACTTGGAGTGGAAGAATACTATCTCAAGCAATTGTTCACAAGAATGACTTCTTTTTGTCAGACTTTTGTTTCAGTTTTACCTCCTGAATATTTTTCACTCTTTGTGGATCCTTGTTTTTTTCAGTCCCTCTCTTCTGAGCTGGTTGGGTTGAACAAAAACATAACCCCATTCTGTAACTTACAATTTCTGTTCAAGGTAGCTGCACTCTCTCCCTTCAAAGCCTGTCCACTCTGCCTTTTAATCTGCTGGAGACTATGTTAGCCATCTCCTTATCTCCCAAACCACATGGCATCTACAGCCCTCTCTTGCTCTGCAGATTCTTAAGGGTGGGACTCCAAGAATGCAAA